AAAATAAACTCACGTTTATGAAATACATGAGCAGTTAATAATTTTCTTAGAATGTAAAATTTCTTTCTTATATATTCTTATTATTATTATTTATTCTACTCAAGTCATACAAAAAAAAATTTAAATTGGAAAAATGAGCAGAAAGGGTATCACAACTAGCAGAGGTCTGCTAAAACGCCCGACATCAAAAGAGACACGGCCGCCGCGGTGAACCCACACTATATTGAAAAAAAAAGAACAATTCTACGAAAACAATGATGAGCAACTCACAACAATATAGAGGAATGTTTGCATTGCTTTCATTGGATTTTGAATACAAATGTAATATTTTTACCGGGACATGTAATTAAAACAAGATCCCATTCCTTAAGCCTTAATTAATTTTTGTCATTTTCTTTGAAATGCATAATTTTTATATAGAATTTTGTATGCTTATATGGGAGTTGCTTTTTCAAAAAAAAAAAAAAAGAATATAAGAAGCAAAATATTTATGAAAGATTCAAAGGAAAAGTGGCAATCACAATATAATTTTTTTTCAAAGAAAACTCCTTTTTTAATATAAAGTTAACTCATTCACTGTTATTGTAGAATAGATATAAACATTTTAAACTCTATGCACTTCCTAATTATAAAGATAATTGCAACCGTGTTGGTCTTTTTGGCTTGCGAGAGACCTAGTTAAAAACCTCATTGTGCGATAGAACTTTGTGTAGTTTTAATTGCCCGGCGCGCTGCAATTGCTCAAGACACATTCAGAGATAAATTAACAAAATGCAGAGCGAGTCAAGCTTTAAACAAGTATGAATATTAAATTAGACGCGGCGACGAAGTTCTTGTGAAATCCGGCCCGTTTCAAGGAAGATGTGTGCGTGAAAAGTGCGCTTGACGCGCGTTGAGACGAAAGTTGATGATTGTAATGACACACAAAAGTTAGTTGGTCCAACTCGCGCGTCTCTTCGTCGTCGGGTCTTAATTAAATAATTGCGACGACACTCTCGCTATTAATATTTGTTCTCGTTTAGTGTAAACATTCAGGGAGTGGTCGGAGCGGAGCCACTTTTTTTTAATTTTGGTGAGTGACGGAACAGACAAAAAGTTCTCCTTGATTTTAAATTAACATCAAAATATTAATGGGAGTTTTATTTTAATTGATCACAAGTAAAATAAATATTCTGCTGTAGCTTGTACCGCCTCTGAAGCTCGAGGGCGGCCTGCGGGCACTCTGGATTTCTGGAAGGGAGAGATACGTGCGTTCAAAGGGTAGCAAAGTTCTGGTCTTATTGGGTGTACCAACTTTACAATATTTACATGTATGATGTAGTATCAACATCACAACATATTCCCATGCAATTAAAGAGACTCTAGGAAATAAAATCGTCTTTTATACAAAATTAATATGAAATCATGTATTTACAAATACTTATATTTATAAAGAAGTAAACATAAATTATATAACATATATTTCATATATTTCTATTTCGCAGCTTCTTTGAAATACCATAAAATGGTATTAATTATTTACTATTACTAATCAGTATAATATTAGATAATATAAACTACAATATTATTATAAAAAGATATTGTAAAAAAATTTGCCTTTTTATCCCAGCTTTTTCCTAATTTTATAATAAATTTTTTTAATAAAACAAAATAATAAGCAAAAGTTGGTATGAATAATGATTTATTTAAGTAAGTCGATTTAATTAATGAGACTCGTGAATTAATTAGATCTGCAATATTGTAAAATCAAAAGAGACTACGTGCAAATTAATACTCTTGGCCGCTCTAGCCAAAGCAACTTTCTTCATATTTTCAGGAAGGATATTTTAATACACAACTCAAATTAAAACTTTGCCTTTCACTAAGTACATAATTCCTAAACCAACCAACTTTCGGTCGTTCTCGGCAAAGAAGGAAGGCAGGTGAATTTTTCACTCGCGTTTCAAGTAGTTAGCGCGTGAGCAAACTTTGCCCAATTCCTTTTCTTTTTCATTCACTCGCCGTCTGCTTTTTCTCACATTTCGTCACCGGCCTGGAAATTGATGGAATTGGAAAGTGCTAACGAGGAAAACGTATCTGACGAAAACAAACAAATAGAATCAATAACTGACGAGTGGAAATTTTGAAATTGACATGAGTACAATTACTGCGGGGTCGGTCCCTGATTAATCCGGACGCCACACACAATTACAAGTTATTAACCCTGGCGCGAAATCTAGCTGTAGATGGACAAATTGGTAGTGACTCGCGGCAGCTAATTAGCAGGCAATTTGCAACGCAAATTATCCGCACAAAATGTCCAGTGGGAAATCATAGCGTTGGCCTTTTGTCGCGCTGCAAATATTGCTTTATTTCCTTGGCTTAGACCTTGGAATTATTTGAATTTGCGACTTTGCTTCTCGTGACTTGATCCCTTTGTGCAGCTGGAAGCTGGAACATCAAACAATGAACGAGATCTAATTGTCCGAATTACGTTTTATTTGAACAAAGGGTGCTGCTTGCTTTCAACCCACAGAACATCACAAAGTGCGTGCACGTAACACGTGGGCTTTAAGAGCAGCAAGTTCGATTTAGCTTGGATAAAATTTACTATGTAACGAGACACGCAGGAATTTTGCATTAAATTTAACCCTTTTGTAAATGATGAAGAGATCAATATAAAATCAGAATTATTTTTATTGATTGTTGCAACTTTAGTTTTTTCTATTTTTGTGAGATTCGTTTTGAATCATTAAATATCAAAATTTGTATGAAATTTCAAAACAATCGATATCCACTTTAGCTAAATAAAAATCTAAAATGGCCAGAATCATCTAAAGCAGATCTAGAGGCTTCTAATAAATGATAAGTTTTGGGGGAAATTTTCTTTTTTACCACTAAAAATGAATTATTTTTTAAAAATTTTCTTCCTTAAAACCCACCAGGGCAATCGCCAGTCAAATTCTGACCCTGTATTTTCGCTAAAAAAAAAAAAAATAAACAAAGTCGTCCTATAATCACAGATCAGCCTTAATCAGTAATAAAATTCACATCCAATGGAATCATTTTGAAGGGAAGTGAAATTACATTATACACCTTGTACTTCCGTCATCATTTCATTTAGTATAAAAAAAATTAAATACCAGAAAATTAAGGTTTGAGATTTAAGGTTAAACTAGATGTATGTTTAGCTAAAATGTAGAAGCTGAAGATTATAAATAAATGCATAGAAGCACCACACTTTAAATCAGATAATGTCTCTAAAAACTTTGATCGGAATTTAAAAAATAATATCTTGAAAAATAGCTGGATTTTGTGCTAATTACTTCAGTTTCTGAAGCAACAGTGGTGTGAGAAGGAGTTCAGGTCTGCATGCGCCGTATAATAAAAGCAGAATCACGCGGTTAAGTGGCTGCTTGCGGTTTTGAGCGGCGGCCTCTCTCTCGCGTGTTCAAACTTCTTAACAAGGCACTTAGCCGCTGAAATGATGTACGGCGCTTAACGTGCAATTTAGCGAATCACCCTTATGCACCCACATTGCATGTACTCGGCTACATTCCGCCAAATTTATTGTAATGTCCGTGTGCTATTTCTGCACGCTTGCGAATAAAGAACGACCACATTTGACTCTAAAACACGAGACTCGCTAGTTTAATATTCATGGAATTTAAATACACGGCACCGCTCTCTCGTCTTCTTTCTTCCGTTCTGGCTTTTTGTTTCGCCTCTGAAAGGACTCCTCGCGTCGGCGGCCCAGTCAGCACTTCTACGTGCTTTCAACCCGCGCGCGAACACGTGTCTGTCTGGCACTTTGAAACTTTCACCCTCCAAATTGAAGTTGCGCTGCACGAAAGCGAGGAGGCGCTGCGCCGCGATAAATTAATGAGTTGCGGTGTTGCCCAAGTAAATCAGACTAAGTTTCCAGATTGCTCTTTCTTGATGGATCTCCTGATTATGTGAAGCGTGAATAAATTTTAGCCTAAATCTCATTTGAGAAGAACAGACAGAATTTGAAAAAGCAATAAAACTCGATTAGGGAAAATAAGATATTACAAATTTGTAGCAAAATTATTTCCAGTTGCGGTCTTTGTCGTCCAAAATATTTTTTTCCTCTGAAAACTGCTAATTTTTGTTAACAATAAAATTAATTATAAATATTTTTGTACAAATTACCAATAATAGGATTCTGATAAGGTTAATAGGTATTAATCAAAATGAAATCTACACAATTGTGTTGCTAAAAATAATTAAAAATAGTAAAATTTTAATTTAATAAAGGGAATTTTCAATTAATATGCTAACTAAATAAATTTAAACAAGATAAATGAACTCCACATAATTATGCCTTTAATTATTCCAATTAAAGCCTTTCGAGGTCTCATTTTACTTATTTTTAGTTTTATACTATTATTCTGAAATTTTGCTCAAAATTTTTACAAATACACAGATTTACGTATTTTATGAGGTAAATTTTGAAAATTTGTTGATTTCTAATTTATTAACAAAAGTTATAATGTTAATTCTTTTGTTGTCTTCATCTGCCGTCACCAATTAATTATATCGTCAATTAAATTGGGCACTTTAATAACTTTTTTATGTTGATTTTCTACTCTATTAATAATTTTCATTTTCTTTTTTAACAATATTCTATTTTGTATCACCAAACTATACGTTCACTATATCGCTTGTAAAATTTAGTCTCTCATTCTATCCTATGGGATTCACCAGCCACGAACTAGACGTAGACATAGTTTGAGGAAATTGAAATAATGCTCTCTGGAGAAAAACAAAAGGTTTTGACGAGCTCGGCTCCGTCAATTGCGCGGCGTCATGCTCGCTCTCGGTACTTCCACGGGCGTTTTTCTTGCGAAAGATAAGAATGATGACAGCAATTATTTTTGTGACCATCTTTGCTCTGCAATTCAGCAGAGAGGCTTTCCTTTTAAGCGGCCGTTCGCTCACTTTGTTGATGAAATTTTTTCTGAGAAAGAATGAAAAAGTGGACAGACGAATTTACTCACCCTCTTTTTGCGCCCAGTCGAAGATGGAGGAGACGCGGTGAGTGTGACTGGACCTGCAGTCTTCAAATCGCGCCCCGGCGTCCAAGCCGAGGGTCTCTGTGTTGGCCTTGACCCCGCACAGGAGGGCGGTGGCGCAAGCTGATGAGTCGCCGATCTGCGCGTCGTTGTTGTACGTCTGCGAACACAAACAAACGCATTTTTCACCTGGCCACTGTATAAATTTACGTGGAGTCTCGACAAACAAGCGAGTGATGGAAAATGATGATAACAAGTCGAATGGCATGATCACCGCGTGGGAAAACTTTTGCCCGAGATGAAAAGTGGCGCCTTTTTATCGCAACGGGAGGGAAGTAACAGAAATCTCGATTTATATTTTTCCAATCAAAAGTTTCTTTCGTCCAGGATAACTTTTTGCGCACCTAAAGAAAAATTTGTCGTCGCCAGAAGATTCCAATAATTACGGGACACATCAAATTTAGTTCTTTGTGTGCCCAGTATTGATTCGAACAGGTTTTCGAAAGTTTTTTTTTCTTTCTTCAAGTCTGTTAATGAAAATTTTTCACTGTGGGTCCAAAGCTTACATTCAGCACCTTTTCTTAAAAAGGATTGAAAATAATATTTTCTTAGAAATTAAGGCAAAGAACAAAGTACAAGAAAACAATTTATCTTACAGAAAATGTTTTCTGTGAAGAACGTAAGAGCAAAGTTTTGCAATTATATAAAAATTCTGAGCCGCGTCTTGATGGAATTAATTTATTTTCTTCAAATGAAAATTTCAATAAGTAAATGCTAACAATGTGATTTTTCTACACATTATCAACAACAACAATTATTATTAATTTAATAAATTTGATCGCATGTTTCAGGACTTAATAGCCAATTCAGTTCTTTAAAACAATACTGTTTAAAATTTCCAATAATTCAAAAAAATAGCTCCTATTAATGTAAATTTTAAATACTTGGATTGACAATGTAAAACAGGAGTTCAAAAGTTTTCAAATGATTCTAAATTTTAAGGTGTCTTTTATGTTTAATGGTTTCTAATTAGTCTTCTTTATTTTATTTTATTAATTATTATCCAAGGAAATAACTCTAATTATCCCGAGAGATAAGAATGCAATACCTTTCCCACATATACACCAAACGTAAAATAATGAGAAACGATTCATCGATTTGCAATAACTAACATTATGGAGTAGCCAGTCAGGTATAAATTCTCTTTGTGCCAAAAAGCGAGTGGCGACCGCCCAAGGGCAAAAAGTGGTAGTCAGGAGGATTATATTGCGGCGGAGAGCGTTTTCTCCCGGGAGTTAATTGAACTTTTCGCTTGTGCACCAGAGACAAACACGCGAACGGCAACCACATTCCCGGAGTGGGTCGCATTCCGTCGTGTCGAATCAAGCGTAATCGAGGATGACGCTGAGACGCCAACCAACCACCGCACTATACTAAAGCAATAAACGACGAACCTCAACGCGTGTCTATTATGAAATGCGGTACATGCACCACTAGATAGAGGGACGTGAAACACAGTAGCAAAAGACATTTAAATGAAATTAAATCTACTGCAGATTTAGATTTAACTATTGTATCCGGAAAACTGTATAGAATTCGAAGTTGCATTTTATGATTTATAAAATTAAAATTATTAATGGAACCATGATTTCTATTAAGTCATTTCAAAACATTTTTCAGTAATACTATTTTTTCATTTATTTTACTTAAAATTTCTAGTTAGTACCTGTGAGTGAAAACGATAACTAGTGATTTTATCAACGAAACCTTTTCCACTAACTCAATTTCCACGTCATCTAACTTATCACTTATCCTATTATGAAAGTTTTCATTTCCAGGAACGCGCTGAATGGCTACGGTTTAATTCATTTAAGAAACTCCAGGTTCAATTATTTTACTCATTTTATCCCTTCTTAAATGAATCAAAATTTACCCCAAATGAGAATTTAAACTTCTGTTTTTTCTCTCAAAATAATCATAACAATCGTTTTATATTATGCAAATAAATATGTATTCATTTCATATTATGAAATTTTAAGTTATGGTAAAAAATTTCTGCCTCCATTTTTTTATCAAAGGGACTTTATATAATTAAAAAGCTTAGCTATAAGACATTAATTTATTAACACAAGGGACTTAAGACTGAAGCTCAAAGTTGTCTGACAAGGCATTACTCCGCGGGTGAAGCGCCAAAGTGGATAGCTCCTTCGAAGGTGTGTAATTCTCGAGTAGGCAACCGGCCCGACGGGCGTGTCCAGCGAATTGCCTATCAGCGTTTCTCTCTGTGATCTCGAGCGAGCCACTTTTATCTTCTCTTCTCTCTCGCATTAAAAATAGATGCTTGAACGACACCGGCGTTATCGCCATCAGCAATATTTTCCGGCTACATCCCGCGCCGGTGAATTATTAATGAGGCTCGAGATGAGGAACGATGGAGCCCTCGACGGGCTGTTGCTTGCGTGCGTGCAGCCAACGTGTGCTCCTCCGAGCGAGCGAGCGAGCGAATCAATCCAGACAAGATCTTGGAGTGCATCTCCTTGACATGATTCCTTTTTCAGCAGCGAGCCTTTCAACCGGCAACTCCGCCCGACACGGTTCACTAAACTTTGCCCCAGCTTAAAATAGAAACTTCTACTTCTTACAATCGATTTTCGCGAAATTTCTCAGCAGGATCATTATTTTGACAAGTGTTTTGAATTATAGCGCAGGGGAATATTTTTCTTTTTAATTACTAACTCTTTAAAAGCTCTACAATTTTCAAAATTAAAGCAGAGGGAAAAGTCACCTGCTAGATTATTTTCAACAAATAAAATTATTTCAATTTAAGCAAAATAAATTGTCTGCAAAAATTTGAAAGTTCTGAAAGTAAAAAAAAAATCCATTCAGTTCACAAGTCAACGATTGATCGAAACTTTCCTATTTTTGTATTCATAACTTTATTTTTTTCAGCCTTCAATTTTCATTCTTTCAACAAACAAACAAAAAAATAATATATTGAAAAGTCTGACGTAAAAAAAGTCATTATTAGTCTAGTTTTCCTCCAAAACAATTTAAAATATGTGTGAAGCTTTTTTACTAGAAGACCAAGGAGAATTTTTTTCCCTTTAGAGCTGCGCCACCACAACAAAAAGAGAAAAGCACTTCCAGTTTACTTTTTTTGCCCTTCTTTCTTTGAATGCACGCGAGCATAATTATTTTGGTTTGCAAAGGAAGCAAAGAGGCCGGAAACTGTGACTGCAGAGAGAAGAGGTCTGATTTCTTTATTTTGGTCTCTGCCTCTCTCTCTTATCCTGTGTGTGTTTGCGTGCCCTAATGGCATCGCCGCTCGGTCTGATTGTGGTCGCCCGCTGACGGCGACTAATAGATCCGTCGTCCAGGCCCAGAGAGTCCGCAGGCGGATTTCGGATGCGCGTCGATGCAAAACCCGTCATCAATCAAGTTCCCACCTACCCATGACCGAGGCTGCGGTTAATTTCGACTCGGATTTTGCGAAAGCAGATTTGTGAAATGTACTTGATGATTGCACACGAAAATTGAGGTTGTTTTGCGGAACATTTGTAGGAAAAAAATACAAATAAAGTCACAGAAAATATTTTGAATACGAATTACGATAATGATAAATTATTAATGTTCGGTTAAATTAATTTGCACACAACAAAAAAGAAAATATGGTGATCCTTTTTCTTGATTATTTTTCTTTTTAACGTTTTCAAGTTATTAGAAAAAATAAAATACACTGAATTGAATTTTAAATTTTCTCCAATCAATCAATAAACGAATTATGAAAACCATAATATACATAAAAAAACTTAATAAAAGGCATTAGTTTAGTCAAATACTGTAAAACGTCAGTGAAGAAAAGAACACAATCCATAGAAATTTGAAACATTCAACCTTTTCAAAAATGTTTAAATCGATATATGGTTGGATGATTGAGCAATAACAATAATAAATTTGAAGATTATCACATTTACATAAAGCCTTTCTGCATTAATTTCATTAATATTTTAATTTACATCAAATCATGTATAAAAATAGCTAAAGAATTCAAACTTTTAAAACAAATCCCAAATTACAGCACACACTCACACAACATCACTGCTGAAAGATTTATTTATTTTCACACCGCGGCGCAAAAAAGTCAAAACAAAATCAGCGATTTTTTACGTGCAGCTTAAATCCATTTCATGAGCCATAATGATTTTATCTGCGATGATCCCCTCACATGTGTGTGTGTTTATTTTTTTCCAGCAGCTCCACATTACTTTTTGCTCCACCATAGCTACTTTATGAAGCCATAAAACTAACACCATCACAGTGCTTTGCGGCGAACGAAAACTCGCGCGCTCATATTGCCGCGCTGCTCTCGCGTTCATCTCGCGGACCTGATGCTGCAGCCATAGAGAGAGGCTATGCAACCTGCAATGAGGCGTGACTGTCGCCATAAATCGCGATTCCGCTCGCTCGGTTAATAACTTATTGCGGCGGCGATGTTTTTTATTCGCGCAAACAAAAAGAGAGAAATCGCGGTCAGTGCACCCTTAATTGCATTCTGCACTTGCGAACGACCGGATGATTAATCACCCTCGATTACAGAACTTGCGAGTACTGGCGGGCAAGAAAGCCGAGCAGGAAATATCCAAGAGGAAGATTTTAATGATACGCCGGAGTGTGCAGGAAGTCAGTCAATGTAGCGGAACTTTGAGAAGAAGTAGCGTAGTAATCATAAAAAAGAAGAAGCGACATGAGCCAAACTTTCTTTTGCTTTCTTCCGTCGCCTACTCGCTTTATTTTGCGCCATCTCCCGTTGTTTACACATTCTGCACAAATAAAGAGGTGTTCCGTCGTTGAGGAAAACATTCAATTGCGTTTTATTGCTGTGCGCATCATTTCCAAGTACAGCTGCAACTAATTCAGTTTGTTCATATTTTATTTTCACATCTTCCTTAGGATTTTGGAAAGAATACAAAATACGGCCCCAGATATTTCTTCCAACCTTAAAAACATTATTAATTCAGAAAAAATCATTAATTGGTGTATTAGCTATTTAACAAAAAATAAAATATAATACTATTTGTTTAGAAAAGTTAATGTGTAAATAATGCCCCTATGTTGAAAAACAAAAAATTAAGTTGCATGTCACTTTTTACACTGTACTCT